AATGGAGATAGACATGAGAAAAATGAACAAGAATTGGATGGAACTAGAAAAGAAAGCCCAGGACATAGTGGGTTGGAGAATGCTGGTCGGCGGCCTATGCTCCATTGGGAGTAACAGGCGTAAGTAAGTAAGTAAGTAATCGAGAAGTATGTAATCTAAGCTGATTAGTTTCTGTAAAAGATTTGCAGTTCGGCATGCTCAATCATGATCTAGAGTGAATAATTTACCAGGCGATTTCAGTTGGGAGTTCGTCCAGTGGGACTGGTAAAGTCTGAATTGGTGTTGATGACTTATAAAATTACTTATTTTTCGGATTTGTTAACCGTTAAACATTCCTTTACCAAACCATCACAAATACTGAACTGCAGCTAAGTGAACATTTCGTGCCACTAAGTAACCCTCGTGCTACTGATAGAAGAAACCAGACAAGTAGTGGATAGGCCTTTATTTAGATCTTCGCGCAGTCACAGCGGAGCGTGGGATTGTTTGTTCAGACAAACAAAGCCTCTCAACATTCAATATAAGATAATAGGAAATATAACGCCTATACAAAATAAAGAAGTGAATGAATACTTGAACTATACTGTCTTAACATATGCTTAGTTGTGTGAGGTGAACTCTTAACCAACTAACCTAAGCTGTTACAGACATTCATTAAGATTAGAGTATGAATGATCTGACACGTAAATCATGGTTACAGTCAGTAAGTTGCAGAATTCACTACCAAAAGAGATAGTTCAGGAATCTGATGACTGAAAATTAGTTTGATATATTCTCTAGTTCTGCTTTCAAAGAAGACTTGTCACTATGTTGATATTTTGCCGCCTCATTTATCAAATAATGATTCATCCTATTGAATTTCTGAACCACTGAAAGAACAATTATGCTCGACCCTAAATTTGCCACAAGCATTCGGAGTTTGAACTCCGCCTGTAGCTCTTCTAGAGTTACTGCCGGTCCCAAGCCCGGGTAAAGGAGGAGGGTTTGGCATGGGGTTAGCGTCCCCATCCCGTAGAAAACTAACTCGCTAAAAAAACCCTAACCAGAAAAAATAATTCAAACCATTTTAACTCTGCCCTGAGAGTTAGAAGGTCTTCATTTAGAAGAATTATGACGCTTCATGGTGAAAGCCGAGTTCCTTCGGAAGCCACGAGGCCGATGCCCCTTCTAACAACCAGAGCAAAAATTTTTATAGGTACATGGAACGTTCGAACAATGTGGGAAACCGGGAAGACCAGCCAAATAGCAACGGAAATGAGGAGATACAACTTGGCAGTACTGGGAATCAGCGAAACCCACTGGACCCAAGCTGGACAGAAAGGGCTAGCTACGGGAGAGATGCTGCTATACTCCGGTCACGAAGAGGAAAATGCTCCACACACTCAGGGAGTTGCTCTAATGCTGTCCAAAGTAGCACGAAATGCACTTGTAGGATGGGAATCCCACGGATCCAGAATCATCAAAGCATCATTCAAAACAAAGAAGGAGGGGATCTTAATGAATATTATCCAATGTTATGCACCCACCAATGATAGCAACGACGACATTAAAGATCAATTCTACGAGCGGCTGCAGTCAATCATAGAGAAATGCTCAAGAAAGGACCTCACCATTCTGATGGGAGATCTAAATGCCAAGGTCGGAATAGAAAACACTGGATATGAAGATATTATGGGACGACATGGACTGGGAGAGAGGAACGAGAATGGAGAAAGATTTGCAAATTTGTGTGCATTCAACAAATTAGTCATAGGAGGCACAATATTTCCACACAAACGTATACACAAGGCTACATGGATCTCACCGGACCACACTACAGAGAACCAGATAGACCATATTTGCATCAACAAAAAATTCCGAAGGACAATGGAAGATGTGAGAACCAGGAGAGGAGCTGACGTAGCTTCAGATCACCACCTAGTTGTAGCCAATTTAAAACTGAAGCTAAAAATGAACTGGACAAGTGGACAAACAGCACTACAAAGGTTCAATACAGCCTTCCTTCGAGATACTGACAAACTCAATGAATTCAAGATAGCTCTCAACAACAGGTTCCAAGCCTTTCAAGATCTACTGAAGGAAGAAGAAACTACCATGGAGGACAACTGGAAAGGCATCAAAGAAACATTGACTTCAACGTGTCAAGAGGTTCTGGGCCTAAAGAAACACCATCATAAGGAATGGATCTCTACAGAAACACTGGACAAGATCAAAGAAAGGAAGAACAAGAAGACAGCAACTAACAACAGCCGAACACGAACAGAGAAAGTCCAAGCACAAGATGAATACATAGAAGCAAACAGGCAAGTTATGCATTAAAGCTGACAAGAAGAAATACGTGGAAGAATTAGCAACGACGGCAGAAAAAGCTGCTAGAGAAGGAAATATGAAACAGCTCTACGATACAACGAAGAAACTATCAGGGAAATACAGTAAACCAGAGAGGCCGGTCAAAGACAAAGAAGGCAAGCCAATCACTGAAATTCAACAACAGCGAAACAGATGGGTAGAATACTTCGAGGAACTCCTGAATAGGCCGGCTCCAATGAATCCACCGAACATCGAAGCAGCACACACAGATCTTCCTATAGATGTCAACCCACGAACGATGGAAGAAATTAGAATGGCCGTCAGACAAATCAAGAACGGGAAAGCAGCAGGACCCGACAACATACCAGCTGAAGCACTGAAATCAGACGTCGAAGTAACCACAAGCATGCTTTACCCTCTATTCAAAAAGATTTGGGAGGAGGAACAAGTGCCAATGGACTGGAAAGAAGGACACCTCATCAAGATTCCAAAGAAAGGAGATCTGAGCAAATGTGAAAACTACAGAGGCATTACACTACTGTCAATACCAGGGAAAGTCTTCAACAGAGTGTTGCTGAACCGGATGAAGGATGCAGTAGATGCCCAATTTCGAGATCAACAAGCTGGATTCCGAAAGGATCGGTCGTGCACAGACCAAATTGCAACACTACGGATCATCGTCGAACAATCAGTTGAGTGGAACTCGTCACTATACATCAACTTCATTGATTATGAAAAGGCATTCGACAGTGTAGATAGGAGGACATTATGGAAACTTCTTTGACACTACGGAGTTCCTGAGAAGATTGTCAATATTATCCGGAACTCATACGACGGACTACAGTGCAAAGTAGTGCATGGAGGACAGCTGACAGATGCATTCCAAGTAAGGACCGGAGTCAGACAAGGCTGTCTACTCTCTCCCTTCCTCTTTCTTCTGGTGGTCGACTGGATTATGAAGACCTCGACATCTGAAGTAATACACAGAATACAATGGACAGCTCAGAACCAATTAGACGATCTGGACTTCGCAGATGACCTAGCCCTCCTATCACGTACACACGAACAGATGCAGATGAAAACAGCCAGTGTAGCAGCAGTCTCTGCATCAGTAGGCCTCAGTATACACAAAGGGAAAACCAAGGTCCTCACATTCAAAGCGGAGAACAGCAATCCAATCACCCTTGATGGCGAAACTCTGGAAGATGTAGAATCCTTCACATATCTGGGAAGCATCGTCGATAGACAAGGAGGTTCAGATGCAGACGTAAAGGCGAGGATTGGCAAAGCAAGGGCCGCATTCCTACAATTGAAGAACATATGGAACTCAAAAGAACTTTCAACCAATATCAAAGTGAGAATCTTCAATACGAACGTCAAGGCAATTCTACTGTATGGAGCTGAAACTTGGAGAACTACAACAACCACAATCAAGAAAGTACAAGTATTTATAAATAGCTGTCTACGCAAGATACTCAACATCCATTGACCGGATACCATCAGCAATAGCCCTCTGTGGGAGAGAACAAACCAACTTCCAGCTGAAGAGGAAATTATGAAAAGACGATGGAAATGGATAGGACATACATTACGCAAATCGTCAAACTGCATCACGAGGCAAGCTCTAACTTGGAATCCTGAAGGGAAACGGAAAAGAGGAAGGCCAAAGAACACATTACGTCGGATAATAGAAGCAGATATGAAAAGGATGAATTACAACTGGAAGGAGCTGGAAAGGATTGCCCAGGACAGGGTTGGATGGAGAATGCTGGTGAGCGACCTATGCTCCTTCACGAGGAGTAACAGGTTTAAGTAAGTAAGTATTCGGAGTTTGACAAAATAACCAGTAACATCTTATATGATCGCAGTGTACCAACCCAGTCAAATCAGAAGTCAGAAGCGGAAAGGCTCGAAGGTATATTTGATAGGCTATCGATATATCGAGAAGTGGTCAATTTAAGTTGGCTAGTGGTCGTAGGAGATGTGAAGCACAATGTACCTACTCGTGATCTAGTACGTATGCGTGACCGAGCGCATTCAGCTAGGTGAGTCCATTAAAATTAATGCGGCCAGAATCAAATATCGAAGACTAACAGAGCTACTGATGTTGGAGATTTATTGTCAACTATAACCCCATGGATACAGGAGAATGGCACAGTCTTGGTAACCAATTATTTAATAATGAAATCACTTGAGAGTAAAGAAAGGAGGCCATGGTGAATGGGGGGAAGAACGTATGCCCACTTGGGTACTCCCAACACGAGTCTTCTGAACTAGCTAGCCTGGTCAGAGAAAAATATCCTGACAAGCCTTAACGCAACCGTTTGGCGCTTGAAGGAGGGTCATCAAGCGTTTATTAAAACACAGAAACAATAAAATATGTTTTCAGAAATGCCAATTCCGGATATTTACTTACCACCACATTACATATAATTATACATAAATTCTCTCCTATGACCTAAACGCAAGCCCCCAAGGAACGGACGGTCCACAATATCATAGAATTTTCAAGTTTGATTATTATTGTCTACTGTCCATCTCAAGGTTTTGCTGACTGACAAAGTCAAATCAACGAAAGCCTTCATGTATCAGTATTCCACACAAAAAAGGTGTACAATTTAATCAAATTTAAGTTATTCACTATAATAATACTGAGTTATAGAGTTGTTTTTATGAGCTCAGGAATAGGCGCTAACACATTATGTATGGATTTGTTTGCTAGAGCACCGCTGGCACCTTTCGAGGGTGGTGGTGTATGTGATGATCTTGACGGTTCTGAGACATCCTCATTAGTTACTGACACTGACCATCAAATAAAACGAGTTTCGTCGATCCCATTCGATGCTAGCTTCTCTTTTGAAGATTCACTCACTGACCTTATTGGGAATTTTGATGAAAAGGTATATCATTGTTTCGAAAATTTTGACGTGGACCCTGAAAACGCACAAAAGATTAATTTTTCAGGAAATGTTCCAACTTTAAATGACGTTAAGTAAGTGAACTGCCGTGCATAAACATGTTAGGCAATGGTGGGCTGCAGCTGCGAAAGAGTTCGTACCCACTGAATCTTACCCGCTTCATAGCTTACCAAGTAACGTTAATTTGTATGATCTCGTAAGTTTATTTTTCCGTCTCAATGGATGATTTCCACTAAATCATGTTTTTACAAGTCATATATTATAAGTATGACGTGAGTATACTCACGTCATGACTACAGTCATTCGTCTAATGCATAAATACTTTAAATAACATATACTTGGAGATAGTGCGATAAATTGGATATGATTTTACTCTCCACTACCCCCACAATCTTCAGCTTCATGTATACAATAACCGGTTCTGACCAAGTTTAAGCTATCCCTGCATAGTTCGCTTCAAGTTGCGCCAGATGTATGACTTTTATAGCTTTATAGCCTTTAGAACCAATGTCTTCAAAGAAATTCGGTTCACTTGATAATATTCAGGGCACACACGACAACCATTACAACAAAAATACCATCAGGACGTTAGGCATCACTTCGAAATTATGTCACATTCGAATGTATTTTATTGACTTATTAATATACATGCCCTATTACCAGATCTGTAAAATTGAAATACAGATGTTAAACCAGTCACACTTAACACTGTTCCATCGAAATATCTGGCATGTGACAAAGCATACAATTGGTGGTTATGTGACATAAATTGCGTTTGATTGGCTACTAGGCATTTCTCGTTTATACTGCACATTGGCAATTTTATATTATAGAACACTGCGTAAATTTCATTATTTTTTACGACGATGACTAGTTAGTGAACTTTGATGTGTTCATGAAGTTCTAAGCCACCGTTTGGGTCTCAACAATTGTACTGTTAATTTTAATATAGTATTGTATTCACCAAACACTTCAAGTAACCCAATAACGTTCGCTCCTGTGGTTTGTGGAGTTTTACTTGTTATTATCCCGTCACCTGTTTTACTACTATATCCTGAGGAGTAGAAAACCCCAGACATTTTCACCATCTCAGGCCCATGGAATAGACAATGTATCTATTCGGGGTCTTAAGAACGTCAACATAAACCATAGTATATTCTTGATGGTCAACTTTCACTTTGTTTCTGTCACTGTTCCTTTCTTATGTATTTTACGCTACTCTTCTTTATTCCTTTACCCTCAGGATCAATTCGAACTTGCAGATGCCGATGGAATAACTGAAGATGGAGTTATAAAAACAAGTTTGTTACAAACATGCAGTGTAAGTTGACTAAGTAGTCGTATAATCTGTCTGTTCTCTTTGTGGACTTTGTCGCAGACCATTACAAGATTTCAGTATTGCCACAAAGCCGTTTGCTAATTATCACCAGATTAACTGCTATCACTCACGTAAAAGCCAAGCTCGTTTACCTCGATGACATAGCCAAAAACGTTTATGCGACATACGATATTTAGGTCGTTGACTAATTCATTAAAGACATTGGTCTTTGACGGAAACCAAAAAAATGTTTAGTCAAATCTGTTCCTTAATATGGTGCAACGCCAGAACAAATGTCAACATTCTTAAAGCTACAAGCCGTTGCCTTCTCAGTATATATGATTCTTGGTTCTCCGAGTTAAATCACACGTGTAGGTAAAGGCGCTATAGCAGTAAATATTACCGCTCGAGTGTTCGACAACCAGTACAGTATCACTTCTGATCTCTGAATTAGTTGAAACAAGTTGAGTTCATGAACCATAGATTCACCTATATTCCGTGTTTTCCCTCTTCCGAATGTTTTCTAAAAATTAACAAATGTTTAATAACCAGCAGCTCTTTAAATACTAGTTCCCGGTAGACATCTTATAGGCTCCACGGTTGGTAACAATGATCTATTTCCACTTCCAGAAATTTTAAGGAAAGGACTCTCCGAATGCGATTACTTGCACTGATTTGTTCGGTCACACACTAAAATCTACCAATCTCTCGTAGTTGATAGTAATTGTTTTCATCTTCCTTTCTCAGTACGTTTCCTCGAGTTCGTAGTTTTTCTTATGAAGGTTGTGCTTTGAGGATTCGATAATAAGTTACATGGTTTGAGGTTGTTGCAATAGTGGATAGATTATTCTTAATAAATCGGTGTAGCTAAGCTAACTTCACGGGTTGGGCCTCCGATTGGGTTGATAACTGGCCAACAAAAAAGGGTTTGTCTAGTAAAATAAAATGCTAGTATACAAAATGTTGCATACACAGCAAAAGTAATTATATTTCGTAAGCGTTTAGAATGTATGAGTTTTGTAGGTCACTCATTCCTCAATCAATTAAAACCTACTTGTTAGGTTTGATTTGTCCCCGTCCTAATTCCATGAGCTTTCTATGTCACTCTAGAGTTTCTTCCACAAAGCACTTATTCATTTAACGCTACTTTATTAACTACACCTCTAAACTTTCTATGTTTAAACGCTGCAGGAAGTGCCAAAGGCAGTTGGTTAGGTATGTGGTAAATCTTTTATTGTCATTATAAATACGTTTGAAATCTTACAAACTACTGGCGAGTTATTTTGTCAGGTACTAACCATCTAGTCCATCCAAATCTTGTTGATCTTCCAGTAGAAGGAGACTCATATATATTAGACATTCTGGAAACAGCTCTGATGAATGTAAGTAATGGTGGTGTGGATCTGTTGCCTGGAGAAAGACTTCTTGACCTTGAGTATGCGGATGATATTGTCTTACTGTGCGATAATGCCCAAGGCATGCAATCCGCACTTAATCAGTTGGCAATCAATGTCCGTAGGTATGGTATGTGCTTTGCACCTTCGAAGTGCAAAGTACTTCTACAAGACTGGCAGGATTCTAATCCTGTACTCACCCTGGATGGTGAGCAGATAGACGTAGTTGAGAAGTTCGTGTATCTGGGTAGCTGCATAAGTGCTGGTGGGGGTGTGAGTGATGAGATCAATGCACGAATAGTGAAAGCCAGAGCGGCTTATGCCAATCTGGGCCACCTTTGGCGCCTTCGTGATGTTAGTCTGGCTGTAAAAGGCCGGATCTACAACGCGTCGGTGAGAGCAGTTTTGCTCTATGCTTGTGAAACCTGGCCTCTCCGAGTTGAGGACGTTAGACGACTCTCTGTGTTCGATCATCACTGTCTCCGAAGGATTGCTGACATTCAGTGGCAACACCATGTCAGTAATGCAGAGGTTCGGCATCGTGTGTTCGGGCACAGAGATGATAACTCAATTGGTGTTACCATCTTGAAACACCGACTTCGGTGGCTTGGACATGTTCTCCGAATGTCGTCCCAGAGAATTCCACGTCGTGCATTATTTGCGGACTCTGGGACTGGTTGGAAGAAGCGGAGAGGTGGTCAGTGCATGACATGGTGTCGTGGCATGAAAGAAAGCTGCAAAGGACTGGCTTGTGTTGGTCCTTCACGACTCCCTGGCTGGGGTCCGAGAGATGGTGCTACACAGTGGCTAGAGACGTTATCAGATATGGCTCAGAATAGAAGCCAGTGGCGATCCTGCTGTAACCTTCTTTTACTTTCTTCATAAAAAGTGGTTGTGTCTCCTTTACCTGAAAGATTTCTTCTGATTGTACCTCTTCGTCATTACTCTCTTTTTCTTTTGCGTTCCTTAGTTTTTTTTCTTTTTTTCTTTCTACTTCTCTTCGAATTCCCATTGTTTTGTGTGGCGCATATATATTGGCGCTCTCTTGTACCAATATTTATGTGTTCAAATAATAATAATAATAGAATCCGTGCATACGAGCAAAAGTACAGAAGCCTAACAATACTGTACCTAACACATATACTACACGACGAACGTTTCGTAAGAGTTGACTTAATCAGAAGCATATCCATAAACATGTTGCAGATTCACCGCCGTAAAGATTCTTATTTTCTGAAAAATATTTTGTTTACTTATTTCATATGTTAATGTATTCGATTATCATTGTTTTTTGTGGTATAAAGAGTAAGAGAAACCTTTTAATATTGTATGCTGAGAGCTTCATATTAAACCTAACATATATTGAATAGAGCCACTATTATTGTTATTATTATTACTAAACTAGGGAGCAGATGATAGCGAAATCAGCAACATTCACTCTACAAATTTAAGAGATTCAGAGGTTGATCACCTTGTACTTCCAGTTGTAAAACTAGTGTTCACTTTTAAGACATTTTTAACGCTAATCTTTTTATGGTCCTGTGCGCAAACTCTTACATGTTTATTAGGTTAAGTAATAATTGTTATTACTTCCAAAAAATTGTGGATTTATAACTTAAGCTTGGATCCGACTTAAGTTTTTTCGTACTTCTGCTGGTAAAATTAGGGTAAACTTAAAAACCCACGTTGTGGTATACGTTGTTAAGTCCGAGTGGAGGTGGACTTGTGTTCTTACTCCGTTGATTTGAGAAACCTAGGAATACTTAGTGACGTTCCTCACCGCTTTTATCTTTCAGTATGAAGATAACGAGGTGAAACATGTTTCGGTACTTTTCGTTGATAACGTACCCTACAACAACATTATACCTTTAGAAATTGACGCTTGATAACCTCTTACACATTCTGCTAAAAGTTGTTTCGCCTTCATCAGAATATCTACCAAAATTCCCTTGTTCCTTTAAATAATTGTCTTCTCGTTAGTAGCTCTACATGGGTTGGGCCAAATACTTGCAATCGGATTCATCGACTGAGTGACCTGAATAAGAATGTATTGTGCGCGCTTTATACCCAAGTGCTAAATCTTGCTTCTAATCTACTTTGCATTAGGACCCAGCTTAATTTCAGACAGTGGAAAAAAATTAAGGTCTTGTATTGTACCATGGTTTATGCTGATTCATTCGGGTAGTTATATTTAAGGTAATGGTTATTTTTCTACATATGCATTAATTCATTCACATCTTGGATTGAGAATTTATAACTTCACAATAATTTATAGTTATTTCTTTCGAATACCGATTAGTTTGAGGCATTGCCACTTAAGTTTTGTCTGAATATATCAGCTTATTCATTGACATTCTTGTTTTTCTCACAGGCTTTAAATTACTCAAACGAATCTATTTATTCAGGACGAGGCACTGTTACTACTTTATCCTTGTCATCCGTGTCAGTTAGTCCTCGTTCATCAACACTTGATGGAGGTTTTCCAAATACATTGGCCCAAATCCCCGATAGTGGAATCTCAAACACCGACGAAGAGCTAAACAGTTACTTTAAAGATTTTGATGATGAAAACATCCTTGACATTTTTCAATCTCACCATCCTTCCCTACCTTTGAAAAAAACTCAAAGTTGGGTAGATGGTAAGCATTTGTTTTGTATAGATGTACATAGTGAAATACTAAATTAGTTATTATCCAGTTTTATTTACTTATTTGAACACATAGATATTGGTACAAAGGGGCACCAAATACATATGTGCCACACAAATCTCATTTGGTTTGTGTGAGGGCTGTGATACTGCTCGGGTGCCCAAACCGAAGGAGGTGGTTTTCTCAGGGGGCCACGCCCGGAGCCTTTGACCTAAAGGGTCTGATCCACAAGGCAGTAGAGCAATGTAAGGAGATGCAGTCTCATGGTAGCCGGTGACCAATAACTGATTCATACGCTATTTGTTCGCTCAGGATACTGGAGCCCATGTACACCGGGGTTTTCTAACTCCCCTAGGTGGACTCTCCGTGTCCGCCGACCCGGTTAAAGCACCGGGCATTCGCTTTTCGTCATCTCAATTTCGTAAAAAACACCCGTGGTGTGAGAAGGCAGTTAGTAGGACTTCCCTGGCAGAGTCTATATACGCGTGGTCATGTGAGAGCATTTCGAGAGGGAGAAATGACTATACTCTCGGCCGTACCAAGGCATTTGGTATAACAATATACCCCCGTTGTTATTGTTCATAGTTCAGTTAATCTTCTACAGAAATAATTCAAAAGCTTTTTCTAAATATCCTATGTTGGGAATAAAACTCATTTTACGGCTTTCATATTTCAAAAAGTACTAGTAATGCTTTAAATAGTCTTGCGAAAACGAAGTTTCATGAAGTTCAAAAGTGATTCTAGCACTCGTTGTGAATCTCCCCAAGTCACTCGTAGTTCAAAGTGGTTAATACTTTTTGTGTGGATTCTCAATTTAACTCTTGTACATACCTAATAACTTCATCGCAAACATTAAGGAAATCGGCTTTTAGGACTCTTCTGCACACCACTTCCTGACTAACTAATGGTTGACTCAGTGTATCTCTGTCAAATGGAGATCTTGATGAAAGTATTTATAGATCACTTGTTTCTGCTTACCAATGCAATATTTTGTTTTACGTGTGGTATGTCGTAGTACGTATTTTGACTGTAGAGGATGAAGTATATTAATATATTTATCAGTGGTTTGGTGGTTACCGCAATCAACTTTCATTTATAAGGTTGATGATCTTAAATCTGTCTCGCCTACTTTGGCTTGGGAAACCTGAACAAAAATGTGGCTCAACACAACACATAAATCAATGTTTTTGACATGATCAATCAGCCGATCTCTAGAACCACATCAATCCTGATAAGTTGACAACTAATAAAATCTCGGTGCAAATAAATAAGACTCGTTTTTTAACTTATGGTACCCGCTAAATCATGAACTAAACCTGGCTTTTGTGGATTTGCCACCAATCGTAAATTTTTTAAAACATTTTATAATTATTCATCGGTGAATTAAATGACTTTATGCATGTGACATACAGATTCATATCTATGGAACATCTTATATATCTAGATAAATTAATACGTATATGTGAGTTTTAGAACAAACGAAATGAAATGAATTCACATCTCTGCTTCACAAAACTTTACTAGGCAAACTTTTCATAAAATGCCTTTTTGTATCTGACTTTAAATAATTTTTCAGACCTTCAGAATTTGAAAACCAGCGTTCTCAAGCTTTATGTTCAGCAAATGAATGACGAAATTATGCAACTTTCAGATTGCTTAGTGGATTCTCTAGCGGAACGAGACGAGCTTTTAATGCTTCGTGAAGCCAGTGATGACTTTATTATATTACTTAACTTGGTCCACGAGCGAAAAACTCAGGCATCCAAAGCAGCTCTTCTAGCAACAGCCAAAAGCTTGATTCGTTCCAAAGTGAGAGCTTTTGCATGTGATTATCACTTTTAATTTAGATTTATGGATACTTATTTATTGGGTGTTCCAAATTGTTTCTTCTGATGAATAGCTAATAAAGTGAGACTACTGATCCTACCATAACATAACACATACGTAGAAATACGATAAATACAAAGAATCTTGAACACCACTGCAAAAAGAAATAGATATCAACAAGTTGACAAAGTACCAACTATGTATGAAGTGTTTTTCGGTTGCCAACTATCAAAGAATTCAAGCTGTCTAATATAATAAAATTCTGACGATAAATCAACAAGGATGCTGTTTTGAGTGGTTTTTTACCGAAGTGATTTAGTCACTAATCAACACTATGCATAGAATGCATTCTCACTTGGATTTTTGTGGCTAATTAGTAGGAGACAGTTAGTTTTGTGTACAACTTGATTCATTAAAATCTACGTTGAGATAAGGATCTCCACAATTATTAATCATTTAATGATCAATTTGTCTGGAATTACGAACAGTTTTAAAACCACTCATTTAATGTTTGTTAAGGCTAAATGCTAAATTAAGGTTATCATCCCCCCCCCAGCGAATGTCCGGCGCTTTAACCGGATTCCAAATCAATGGTGAACATGGGCTCCAGTATCCTGCGGGAACGAATGGCGTATGAACCAATCGTTGGTCACCGGCTACCATGGGACTGCATCTCCTTACGATGCTCCACTGCCTTGTGGGTTAGACCTTTAGGTCAAAGGCTCGGGGAGTGGCCCCCTAAGATAACCACCTGCTTCGGTTTGGGCACCCGGGCAGTATCACAGCCCACACACAAATGATGAACTCTTTATACCTATGGAAATTACTTTTGTCGCTTTGAAAAACAATCAATCGATTCAAATTATGATCACTACAATTATTGTCATTATTAATACTAATATTATTATTACTACTATTATTGTCATTATTGTTATTATTATCATTATTATTATTATTTTCCACATTATTCACCCTCTTTTATACCTATACAGCGGCTCGTCTTTGGTGGAAATCCGACTGTATCTAAACGTTCTCGAGTCACTGTCCGGTTGAAAATTGTATGTTACCACCGAATACGAGGACTGAAGCAGATTTTCTGAAACCACGTGCACCATTCAAACTGGCTGCCTTCAACGTTCGCACATTTATGCAGGTCGGACAACAGATAGGGCTGGCTATGTCTTTGGAAAGTCTTAATATCGACGTGTGTTGTCTATCCGAGACCCGTATTCAAGACTCTGGCGAAGTACTACAAATCCGATCTCCATCTGTCGCTTCGAAAAGCTTGTTTTACGTGCGCTTATCCGGGGACCCTGTGGCATCTTCGTCTGGTCTTGCTGGCGTTGGTGTCGCACTAAGCGCTAGAGCTGAGGCAGCACTAGTCGATTGGATCCCCATTAACAGTCGGTTATGCGCTGTTAGATTAGAAAGTTCCATCAAAGTGAGAAGAAATCGGCGTGAGAAAAGATGTCTTTTCGTCATCTCCGCCTATGCCCCGACAGATTGCAGCCCGGATGCAATCAAGGATGAGTTTTATCACCAGTTATCAGTTCTTCTCCAGAAAGTGCGTTCGACAGATATTGTAGTACTAGCCGGAGACTTGAATGCTCAGGTCGGGCGTCTAGGCACAGAAGAGAGTCGTTTAGGTGGCCGATGGGGACTCGTTGGTCGTAGGACAGATAACGGGGACCGTCTACTGCAACTTTGCACAGACCACAACCTGTTTCTGGCTAGCACTAACTTTCGGCACAGTCATCGCCGATGTGCCACCTGGCGTCCTCCCTCTGCATCTCAAGCCTGGACTCAGATTGATCACATCGCGATCAGCTACCGCTGGCGTGGTTGTGTACAAGACTGCCGCTCCTTTTGGAGTACCTATCTGGACTCTGACCATGCCTTGGTCTGCGCCAATCTTGCCTTACTTTTCAGTGGACAACGAAGTGAACGCCATCAACGGATTGATGTTAGCAAGCTGGTTGCAACTTCTGTTGCAAGTAAGTATCGAACTGAGCTAGCCTCTAGGCTAGCTACCACTCCACCGAAAAGTATAGATGAGCATTGGTTGCAATTGCATGACGCCATGAAAATGGCGGGAACAGTCAGTTGTGGGTTTGCGAAACGTCCCGCTTTTAAGCACTGGGTTTCTGCAGGTTCCTTACAACTCATTGAAGCCCGTCGGTCTACTCCGGGTGACCGTGAGTTTGACCATAAACGAAGGATGTTACGTAAGGAAATTGGGCAGAGCTTGCGTAAGGACCGAGAAGCCTGGTGGTCGATGCGTGCTAATGAGCTGGAAGCAGCAGCTGCATCTGGTAACTACCGGAAGCTCTTCCAGCTCATCCGAGCCACTGGCAGCAAGAAGTCTGGTGTGAGTGAAACAATCTGCGAGGATGATGGGATGCCAATCACTAACATCCATCGACGTCTTGGACGATGGGCAGAATTTTTCGAAGGGCAGTTCAACTGGCCTGCTGCTCCGGCAACATCGGTCAGACTGTCCTGCCCTCCATGGCCGGTGACGACTGATCCACCAAATGAGGAGGAAGTCCGCAAGGAACTCCAACTCTTGAAGCGTTACAAATCACCTGGCCCAGATGACTTACCTCCGGCTCTTTTTAAAGATGGTGGTGACTTTTTGACTAAGGAATTGACGACGTTGTTTACAAAGGTTTGGGAACTAGAGAGTGTACCAACGTCATGGAATGAGTCGATAGTTGTCCCTATCTTTAAAAAGGGTTCACGTCGTTCTTGTAACAACTATCGGGGGATAAGTTTACTTCCGATTGCGTCCAAGCTATTGGCTTCCGTCATTCTTCGTAGGTTGTTCAAAACCCGAGAAAGATTGACTCGCGAGGAGCAGGCTGGGTTTCGTTCTGGTCGAGGATGTATTGATCATATCTTCACCCTCCGCCAAATGTTAGAACACCGCCATACTTTTCAAAGGCCAACAATCGTAGTGTTTCTTGACATCAGGGCTGCCTTCGATTCGTTGGATAGGACTGTTCTCTGGGATTGTCTATTGAAGAAGGGTGTGCCTGAGAAGTTTATTAACATCCTAAAAGCCCTGTATAAAAACACCTCAGGCAGAGTGAGGGCATACAACCACCTCTCTCCATTGTTCCATTCGAGCAGTGGGGTTAGGCAGGGTTGCCCAATCTCACCATTCCTCTTCAACTTTGCCATCGATGACATTCTGGAAACAGCTCTGATGGGTGTAAGTAATGGTGGTGTGGATCTGTTGCCTGGAGAAAGACTTCTCGACCTTGAGTATGCGGACGATATTGTCTTACTGTGCGATAATGCCCAAGGCATGCAATCCGCACTTAATCAGTTGGCAATCAGTGTCCGTAGGTATGGTATGTGCTTTGCACCTTCGAAGTGCAAAGTACTTCTACAAGACTGGCAGGATTCTAATCCTGTACTCACCCTGGATGGTGAGCAGATAGACGTAGTTGAGAAGTTCGTGTATCTGGGTAGCTGCATAAGTGCTGGTGGGGGTGTGAGTGATGAGATCAATGCACGAATAGTGAAAGCCAGAGCGGCTTATGCCAATCTGGGCCATCTATGGCGCCTTCGTGATGTTAGTCTGGCCGTAAAAGGCCGGATCTACAACGCGTCGGTGAGAGCAGTTTTGCTCTATGCTTGTGAAACCTGGCCTCTCCGAGTTGAGGACGTTAGACGACTCTCTGTGTTCGATCATCGCTGTCTCCGAAGGATTGCTGACATTCAGTGGCAACACCATGTCAGTAATGCAGAGGTTCGGCATCGTGTGTTCGGGCACAGAGATGATAACTCAATTGGTGTTACCATCTTGAAACACCGACTTCGGTGGCTTGGACATGTTCTCCGAATGTCGTCCCAGAGAATTCCACGTCGTGCATTATTTGCGGACTCTGGGACTGGTTGGAAGAAGCGGAGAGGTGGTCATTGCCTGACATGGTGTCGTGGCATGAAAGAAAGCTGCAAAGGACTGGCTTGTGTTGGTCCTTCACGACTCCCTGGTTGGGGTCCGAGAGATGGTGCTACACAGTGGCTAGAGACGTTATCAGATATGGCTCAGAATAGAAGCCAGTGGCGATCCTGCTGTAACCTTCTTTTACTTTCTTCATAAAAAGTGGTTGTGTCTCCTTTACCTGAAAGATTTCTTCTGATTGTACCTCTTCGTCATTACTCTCTTTTTCTTTTGCGTTCCTTATTTTTTTTTTCTTTCTACTTCTCTTCGAATTCCCATTGTTTTGTGTGGCGCATATATATTGGCGCTCTCTTGTACCAATATTTATGTGTTCAAATAAATAAATAAATAATAACGAATACGAAAACACGCAAGATCGTCGTTATTAATAATTTTTATTCACTGAGAAACGAAAACCTTAACATGTGTATCATCTCTCTAATAGTCGGATTTTTCTAAACAATCAAATCAAAACTTTGTTATGCATATTGATATAGAGAGCCAATCAGGAGTAGCAAAAGGCCATTCTATGGCAGTCAGAAGTGAACTAAAGGACAGATGCTTTTCATTGAGATCAATGGGTCAACTTCCTAAGGATATATTGGTATCAGTCAGTAAGTGGTCTTAAGTGCTGTTAGAGGTATGAGGGCGGTTATCACTTCCCAGTTGCCCACACCGTGGAAGGGTTCTTCTGGAGGTACCTGAAAAGGAAATCGGATTAGAAGTGGTCTTAGTGACCTGGGAGCGTGACCGCAGTGCCCAAGGGACAACTGCTTGAGGTCGGTCACGCACGACCTTTTTATGGGCAATTTTTGTGTTAGCTCCGTACTTGTTGAGACCTTACCGCCGGAGACGGATATCCGTGGGATAAGGCAAGGTGTGCATTTTTAGGGTCGACCTTTTCTAACCCTACCCCTCCTTGTGGGAAGACAGCATCGCTGTCATGCTGATTGTCTGGAGGAAACACCTTACTGCTGCCACACCTCTGTACAGTCAGTAGTACGACTTCGCCTTCGGACCTTGGGTTTGTTGCTTTTAGTCTTACCGCTCTTCAACCGACCTGTCTGACATGGTAGGACCTTGAGGAACGGTTGTTCCAGCCAGTATAGCTCGGTTGCTTCATCACGATAGGCAATCCCGACCACCACGTCAGGGTAGCAACAACGGTCGGGATATATTGGTATATGAGTATTCGTTCATTTTATTCCGTAGTCCAATACACTTTCCGCTCACTCGTGTGTTCTCGCTCAAGTATTCAGTTGGGGATTAGCGCATAGCATACCGTGTATCAATATCAGACCTCGGTCGCTGCACGTCACAGCACACATATGTATCATGTCAGTTTTTAACCTATAACATCCTTTCCAAGTTCTTAATAAAATATATGATAAATCAGTGGTATTATCTGTCCTTGCTTTTATTATTAACAGTTTTGCTCATATTTGGTTGGTGTGACTGACAGTATCTCTATATGTCATCATTCCTCATTATTTAGTCTTCATAAACATTTTTCAGATAAGTTAACCCTACAAAAAAGTTGAAATTACAGAGTATACTCTAGATATTCATACCATAAAATCTTTTGTCTTTTTAGATTTGATTTCGACCTTTTTGTTATGTCCTGTTATTCCGTAGTAAATAATTATCTCAGTAGTGGCGTATCTCTGATTATGTAGTTCGACCATACATATACATTTTGTGAATTGGTTGACAAGAGACTTAGCCCAAGTCACTTGATCTGTAATTTATAAGTCCATTCCTTAGGTTGGTGCTCCTGCCATTATCATATATCGGTTCGACAAGATTACGTTTATTAACATGTTAGGTAGGATAGTTTTATTACCCATATCTAGTCTTCTTACCACCGTTTGAGGCACTCAAAAATGTGTTTGCACTTCTATCTTTAAGTGACGGGAAAAGTTTTAATACATCATGTAACTAACTAACTCTCAACTATGTATACCATCCTCTCCAGAAGTGTTGGATGAATGCCTAATTGAATTAATTTGTACTTTTATAGGATCAACACACTTGATGTTCTTCATAACAAACCTGAGTGATTTTCGTGACTTAGCTTAGTCTGCACTAGTTACTTTCTTTCTACAAGTTTCTTTTAGGTCAAGTTATTTGCTTTTCGATTTTGTAGTTTTGTTTTTCGTTTCATAGATACCACTCATATATTTAAAACAAATTGCTTTAGAAGACAGCATGTTTTGTTTGAATGACTACATTTCATCCAAATACTTCTCGGTCTGTAACAGTGAAGACTGATATTCGTGACATAATAATCTAATTCAATCGCTTTTGAGAATGTGAGTAACCTGAAAGTGACAACTGCCAACACAACTGACAGTGCTCAATTTAACGTTTTCCACAAATAAAACTCCTTAATTCCCTACTCCTCTTATCAACCATGCTGTCGGGTTCTGTCTTTTTCACGCTTAATCACTGCTACCAGTTATATCTAACAGAGTTCTATTCTTAATCTTCTAAAACCACAATCTAAACTGCGTGGAACTTGGATTCGATGGGACAATGTGCTTCTCTAGACAAGACTAAACTTCTATACAATTGATTTACTGTTCATATGAAACACACATACAAAACTTAAGCGTGGTCATTCACTTGACCTCATTTATCTAATGTAGATTTATTTATTTTAACACATAGATATTGGTACAAGGAGGCACCAAACACATATGCGCCACACAAATCTCACTCGATATGTATGAGGGCTGTGATACTGCCCGGGTGCCCAAACCGAAGCAGGTGGTTTTCTTAGGGGGACACTTCCCGAGCCTTCGACCTGAAGGTCTGATCCACAAGGCATTGGAGCATCGTGAAGACTTGCAGTCCCATGGTAGCCGGTGACCAAGAAATTGGTTCATACGCCATTCGTTCCCTCAGGATACTGGAGCCCATGTGCACCATCGATTTGGAATCTGGTTAAAGCACCGGGCATTCGCTTTTCGTCATCTCAATTTCGTAAACAACACCCGTGGTGTGAGAAGGCAGTTAGTAGGACTTCCCTAGGAGAGTCTATATACTCGTGGTCATGTGAGAGCATTTCGAGAGGGAGAGCGGACTCTCCCCACTCTCGACCGTACCAGGGCGTTCGGGGTCATCTAATGTAGAAAATCAGCGTGATTCATCCTTCCTGTATCTGGGTACTCATGGAAGATATACTATTGAGATCCAACAGTTTTATGAGTTATTCAAGTGTTTCAAACGCATCCAATTAAGTTTTTTTCCCGATCTATCATTTTTCTTCTTGATATGACGAGACAAAATTAACCCCGATAGTAAGACACTAATTCCATAAAAGGGTGAGCGACGTATAGTTGCAGTGTCCTCCATTCGTTCGCACACTGACTTCTAAAATTTATTCTTGTGTTCAGTATTTATTACGTAAGCGTATGTTTCTGCTAGCAGCAAAAATATTTTGCCAGGAAGCTGTTTTATCTCTATCATTTCGATGGAGGAATTCGCCCAATAATTCCACCTCGTAAGCAATCGTCACTCGACCACATCAATGGTGTCTGACATTGTATTATTACATTTTATTAATCCGTGTATTCGACAATCCCCGAAAATCCGTTCTCCACAAATCATAAAAGACTAATTCATAGCATTTGTTAACTAGCAGTTTATTTTTTAGTGAAATAATTATCTCTACTTTCATTTTCCCGATTTTTCCATCTCGGTGTATAATGTTAAGTCAATCAGCTACAATGTACGACCAGGCACATATGTGCATCGATCAAAGTTACCATACCTCATTAGCACAACAAGATGAACACGGATTCCTAGAAATAGTTAATTCAGTGGTGGTAATATATAAAAGAAAAATTGCATACAATGACATAGTACAGGATGACAAAATTAGTTGGTAGAAAGAAAGATATGAGACGATTTTAATCTCATAGCTTAAGGGAAGATAAGGAGTGTATACACTGACGCCATTGTGACCGATTCTGAGCCATGTCACCTGGAGTCTCCAACCATTGGTTACGATAGTCACGCGGACTCCGACCAAGTAGTCTGCATCTACCGACATTGCTCAGATCAGAAGTTAGTACCTTCGAAGACATATGCCTGATTTTGGTTTGGCCGCCCATAACTTTCTTCCAACCATTTCCAACACTAGTCCACATTGCGTGTCGTGGTAATCGGTGTTCAGACATACGCAACACGTGGCCCAGTCATGTCAGTTAATAAAGATTCACAACCGCATCAACTGATTTACCATTATTCCCTGATACCCTGCACCTAACCTCACTATTACTTACACAGTGATCCCAGCAGATGCGAGCAATATTTCTAAGACATCTATGACCAAATACCGGTAACTTACGAGTATCTCCCACCCTTAATGGCCACGCTTCGCAGCCGTAAACGATGAGCTGTTATGTTTGATTCCTAGCACATATTTGGAATCTTGAAACATCCGATATATGGAGTGCTTCTTTCTTCAGTGTTGGCTAAATTTGCGTTTTGATAACTTTTTCGGTCACAAACTTATGCGCTAATTATAAGTATCGTATGTTTTTCATATCCTTTGACACATTTGAACACTAACTGGTCACTAAGTGTTATTTTTTTATGGTGATTATCAGTTTTTTTATAGCCCAATGTACAACTTCAAAATAATTATTTCCTGTCTGTTTCGTCGTTGAAAAAATATTTTTTTGATTCTCTAGACTTTGTTTCGTGTCACTACTCCTTGGTTTACTAAAAGACCACATATATCTGCTTCTAGTACACTGTCGTTAGTTGGATCTCAAGATATCGAGAAACCAGGCACCACATCACTTGTCAGAAATGAACCAAACCCAGTAAATTCAGTTCATTTAGATTTACAAAATAATTCTGTTGCTTATGTCGTCTCCCTTAATCTTCATTCAAAACTAAGAAGACCCAGAACACAACCAATACATGTTCACAGGAAAAATCAATCAGATGTTAAGAGTGTTTCTAACTCAGTCAGTTCGATTGATTCTAGGCAACTAAATGAATCACATCTATCTAAATGTGCTGATTTATCTTCAGAAAGCATTAAATCAATACCTACCAGACAAGCAAAAATACGATATGAAGCTCTCGTGAATTTGTGCAACTCTACTAATTGGCCGAACGGTAAACCGCAAAATAGTCGAGTAAGTATGATTTTGTTGTTGTTGAACTTAGTAATAACTTATCGGCATCTTGAATAACTCATAACAATGTTCATCAAACTTCACACTACCATAAACACTACTGGTCAGCTGTCATCGGAATCGGTTACTTCAACTAGTGTTCGTCAGGATGTCCCTCTTTTCCCACTCTTGATATGGTTTTAGAGATAACACTTTCGTCGTCTGACTTTTCCGAGATTGATCTACTAGGAGATTCACTTGTTGACTTGGTATACACATATGCCATATTTCTGTTTGGGGAAGACGCTGACAAAATCCAGAGTCTTCTAACCACCTTAAGCTATAATCCAAACATGTTTGGGGTGCGGTTCTCTCCTTCCAAATGTAAAATGTTGCCTCAGGATTGGTTTGCGTCGGCGCCTGTACTAATGGTAGAGAGTGAATTAGTTGAACGCATCGGCCGCCTCACTTATCTTAGGAGTCTCATTAGTACCGGCGGTCTGGTGTCTGACAAAATCTCAGCACGGATTCATAAAGCTCGATTGGCTTTTGCCAACTTAAATCACTTTTGGAGTGGGCAAGATACTCGTCTTCCAACCAAAGTACAAATTTACTGCACATCATTTTAATCCTTTCTACTTAATGGATGTGAAACATAACCATTAAGAATAGAAGATATTCTAAGGTTACTGGAATTCGATTATAGGTGTCTACGAGGCATCACTCGTGTATTTTGGGACTTTGGAGTAAAGAATACCTGGGTTAGCAATAGAATACTAGGCAAAGATGGGAAATCGGTTGATAAGGTAGTGAATCTTCATCAACTGAGGTGATTGGTACGTGTATTACGTATGCCCAACCACCTCCTACCACGACGAACGATGTTTTCTGGTGCAGCAGTAAGCTAAAAGAAAGCTAGGGGCGGCCAAATCAAAACTTAGGATAAGTCTATCAAGCCATTGACATTTTGACGGAGGCAGGTTAAAAGGTGCAGACTACCTAGTTGGGGTCCACTTAATTATCTTAACCAGTGGTTGAATAATTTGAATAACATGACTCAAAATCGTTTGCCATAGTGCAGATGCATCCATTCTTTGTCTTCCCTAACTTCTAAGCCTCTGAATTGCTCAATTTCCTTTTATTTCACTAATTTATGTTTTTTAATCGTATCTTCTATGCCTAATCTTTTCGATTACATCTACCACCCTCATATTTGGGCTGATAATCTCACCTATCTGTGCTAATGAAGTATGGCGACTTAAACTGATGTATATACTTGCCAGGTTCTACGTTGCAACTGACTGACATCAACATTATGTATACACATTCCTGCGAGAGAAAAGTAACATGTTTTATGTGTTCTTCACTTGGTTATGGCATAGTGATCGGTGGTATATATGTACTACCTGGTTCTCTGTTCCTTCATTACGTCTAATTTATTTCAAATGGTTGTTAAATCTGATCCTAACAAATAATCTCAATAATGAAATGAAAAGTGTAGACGAACCATGTATAAAATATCAAAGTCCTTAACATATATGCAACATGAAGTCTTCGGGGTCCATTCTTGATTTGGTTCTTATCGTTTTTTAAACTTTTCACAGTTTTTACTGTGTTGAGGGTTTGATGTACATTTCCATTCGGTACCATTCACGATTTTCTGAAAAGGTCATTTTACATTTAGAACATATATGAGCCAACAATATTGTCTTCGATTAGATCCTCATCAGGCTTTACTCTAATATACAGTAGTATTTATATGCATATACGAAATTATTAAACCAATCAAGGTAGTTTATGAGTCAACGATAACAATGAAAAAGATTACATAATAAGTGAAAAGTACAAATTGATAGTGTGGTAACAGGTGCATTAGTTTTGATAAGAATAATGAAGGCTCAAATCAAAACGAATCTCTCAAAGAGGTTATCAATAAACTTGATTTCTGCTGTCGTTACGTTGATGACACTTTCATCATTGCCGATCAGAATATTAGAAAAGAACAACTACTAGAACTATTTAATAACGAACATCCTGCAATTAAATTTACATATGAAGAGGAAATAAATAATAAACTACATTTCCTTGACGTTTTGTTAAATATAAAAGAAAATGGTTCTATCAAGCAGAGGTGTGCATAGAGAAAGTTCTTCTTCAAGCCAATACACACATTTTTTAAGCTTTGTGCCTCTTCATTATAAGAGAAACTTAGTCAAATGTCTGGCAAATAGAGCTATTAAGATATGCTCAGTTGACACAATTGATAAGGAATTAGAACACATTCATAATATGTTGATTGAATTGGGATATCCACAGGGTTTCCTAAAGAAACACTTGCTTGTAACAAGCAAGAAAATAGTGACACTAACGGCTAATAAGAAACCTCTTTTCTTGAAGCTGCTATTCAGTGGTGATGTATTACGTGATAGACTGACTAGAGCAGTAAAGAGAACGTTTAATGCTGCCGACCTCTGTCTATCGTATTCGACCCGATCTATGGTGATTCCCCAACTGAAGGATAAGTTACCTGGTTATGCCACTTCTATGTGTATCTACGAATTCAGCTGCTCCTGTGGAGAAAGCTATATTGGGCGCACTACCAGGCAACTGAATCAAAGAGTTAATGAACACCTCCCTTCGTGGTTAGGAAAAGGTAATGTCAAGACAATACGCAGCTCGGTTCTATCACACGATCGATAGCGGTCATGTAGTGGACAGAAACAAGTCGTTTGAAGTTATTTATCGTATTCCCACTAGTTTTCCTTATGGTGTTCGATCTCGTCTCTTACACATAGCAGAAGCTACAGGAATTCAAGCCAACAAGCCGTCTTTGTGTACAGAAGAAATTTGTAACACCCTTATCTCTCCCTTGGCCTTAATAAATGAATTTATTTATTATTTTTTCAAACTTTCTCTTCGTTTATTATTTTTCTTCACCCCCTCCTACCATTTTGTTTTATTTTCTCTCAAACATACGTTTCACGGTCCAATTATCTGAACACTTCTTATTATGACATCTTATAATTTTATAAATGTTATTTCACTGTCTATATTTTTCTAATCATTGACCTATTTCCGACTATGTAACATTGATTTGAGCCTTCATTATTCTTATCAAAACTAATGCACCTGTTACCACACTATCAATTTGTACTTTTCACTTATTATGTAATCTTTTTCATTGTTATCGTTGACTCATAAACTACCTTGATTGGTTTAATAATTTCGTATATGCATATAAATACTACTGTATATTAGAGTAAAGCCTGATGAGGATCTAATCGAAGACAATATTGTTGGCTTATATATGTTGTTCTAAATTCACAGTATGGGAATATTTCACATTCTGTGTTTGCGTACTGCTTCTTCCTGCTCTAAACCTTCTATTCCTTAGGGTCCTCAACTTTTAACCTACAGATACTGGTCGCTCACCAATTCAATTATTCTTCGCATAAATACTTTGAGGAACATATAACGTTTTCACCGTATATCAGTATAAAAAACGCATTCAAGGTACTAAATGTTTTATGATCCGCTATTAATATTTTCGTGGTGAATTTTCTACTGTCTACAGTTATCTACTCGTTGACTGTGATTGGGCTATTTAGATAATTTATGTTAATGAAAAATGCAGTCTCCTTAAAGGAGTGAATTCCACTAATTCTCTCACCTGAGTTACTGATTCATATACTTATATCGGCATTTATTATAATTAATTCATAATACAGTCACTTTTAAAATTTTTAATTAGTTGGTCACGTGTTTTACGAAGGTTTCAGGAGAATCTTAGGGGTTTTTTGTACTCTCGTCTGGTTTACTTATGGACACATTTTGAAACCAGAATTCGATACTGTTGTTAACAGGCTTTTGTTCCTCTGATCTGTTTTGCTTGCCATTATACTTAATCCTATGGTTACTAATTAAATCCCTAAAAGTATATTACTTATGTTTGGTTATTTTATCATTCGTGGATTGATCACTGGTATAGTTTTGTATGTCTCACTGATTGTTTTTCTTATTTGTCGTTGCTTTTAGTCCTTACTTTTATGTATACCCTATCGAATCAAACCGGGCGTTGGAATTTCCATTCAAGAACTACGTCTACTAAATCAAAGTGAGTTTTTAGAATGAAATTAGCCCATAAAGTTAATGTCTACTAGTCTTAGCTATAGAATCCGTGATATAATCGACACCTGCGGTTAGAAATACTAGGTTATATGGTTTGTCAGTCAAATTGATAAAGTTGGATTTATTGCAGATTTTCCTTGATATAATAAGCTTAATATTGTTTCATACTTTTGACCCGTCTTCCTCATTTTTTATATTTATCGTTACAGTGTAACAAACAGTATTTTCACTCGTGCTTTTCATCTACGTAATTTCCTCTCTCACTCTACTGCTGAATGGTGTAGTAACTTGGGTCAGTTCATTTTTATTTCAGGTCATAAATTGCCTATGACATACTGACTAATTAATGCAACATTTCAGTGTACATAACCAAAAATGATCATTTTAAACTAATCCTATCGCACTGAACTGAGAAATAGGTAATGGAAGTATTTTATCCCAGCTTTACGACAAAGAAATCATTCATTTGAAGTGAGTTAGCCTGTTACAACAGGGAATAAGATCGTTAGAAGTAAAAATGATTTCAGATTTTATAAATAAGCAGTAAAACTGTCTTCTGTCACTAGTCGACCCAATTAAAACGTTTTAAAGTACTGAGACATATTTTCCTTCGATCAGAAACAGTAAGTACCATAGCTTACCACTGTTATAATTAGCTTTTTATATTCGTCTTATAGAAGTCAAATGGGCTACTTGTTTTTTTTTCACTGAACACCTCAAAACATTTTATTCGATTGATTAGTATGTTGGATTTCTGGCATGGATTTAGAAAATGGTTGTCCGTACTAAACATGTCTTCCCACTAAAGATGTATTGTAGTGATTCGTTGTATAGCATTTTTACTAAACCTTGTCTGTTGGAAACTAATTGTATGCAATATTAAGTTCTTTAGCGTATTAGATATTATTTTGTACATATACTTAACTGTTGATCCTGAATCAATTTCCTTTTTCGTAGTTCTTTATGCTACTGTTCTTGAAAACCCCAAAATAGAAAAATTACTCGAAAGTTACATAATGAACGGTGAGTTGACCAAACCACTGTAAATTTCTTGTATTTTTTTTCTTATTGTTTACCGTTTTAAGTTGTCAACGTGAGTGGTTGCTGTTATAGAGATAATTAGATTCTAATACCCAGTCAATAACATTAAAATTTATTTGTATGGTGAACAAAGACATAATTATGCCTTACAGCTAGATTAGTGAGAAAAGTTACAGTTGTTACAACAGTTTTAAACCGTAGCTAACTAGATGTCGTGTTGCCACATATGGGTACTGAAATATTTTATGTTAGATCTGTATCTGATTAGTTCCATAGTTTGTTGGAAGTACTTTATTGATCCCCACCTTATCAGATAATTCGAACCTTCAGGATAGTAATATATTAAAAAAGAACCTTAAAATTTGATAAATTGTTGCTGCTCATGCCACGTACACATTATCAGAAAACGTCAACCGTCATCCTGTGTAGTACATACTTTCTCCACAAGTAACTCTTCCTCACTCTTATTTGTATTTCTTCTTTTGAATATTCTCGAATTCACCGTCCTAGTAACAACATGGTTTAAAAGTTCGGGTTTACATTTTTTCAGAGACATTCAAAGCCGACTTAAAGTAAATGTTACTCAGTAGTCATATTTTCTTCTTAAGATTTGTATTATAGGTGTTTGTTTGATCGCTTTGAGCAGCTAGGTATTATAATTAGCCCTAATACCCAGGTGCTTGGTAAATGAAATGATTTATCGCTTTCATTTTGTTCAGTTGAAGGATAGAGACAGATTATTTTATCTTCCTACATTTTCAGCACCCTCGTTTGTGATTGTCAACTTATTTCATCACACCAATGTTTAGTTCCTCAACATCATTGATACTACTATTATGTCGACTTTCTTAGTAGTAATCTTATCAATCTCATTTCTGTTCGCTGATATGGTATGGCAACTTGAGGTGACATATTTTTGTTTACCCCTACACTAATTATGAGTGAGTGACTGACTAAATCACTTAAATACAATTATTATTTCATCTATAACACATTTTTACCGTTATTATTTTTGCCATTTTAAGTTATCGTTCATGAAGAAATATGATCCTGTCCTAATCATGAATGAATTTCTAGTTCACTCTATTATGAACGGCTGGGTTACAGATTCACATCCTTACTACCTATTGTGGTCAATACTTTTACTCTTGGAAAAATAAGTCAAGCCTAAGGCTTAACATGTTATCCTGAATATGATTTTTAAGTCCTAATTTGTTTATTATTATTTTGATAATTAGGTAAAATAGTTAATTGAGCTAGTGTACTTCATAAATTGTCGGGTGATCATCATTTATGTCAGTTCATTTCCTCTTTATGAGTAAGAAGAAATGAAGCAAGTAAATTCTGTTATTAGTTCTAATTGTTTGGTTTTAATAGTACTAAGCCGTAGTAGAATGTAATTGGTTAAATTATTCTACAGAATAACATTTCCTTGCGTTCAATGTAGCTCACGAATTCCAACTACATTGCTCTAGAAAACTAGTTGTAGATACTAACCACCTATCCAGATCAAATTCGATTTAACTTGTTTATAACCATAGAATTAATAGTTGGAATTTGAATACATACACCATTGATCTAAAGTTCCATAACTGACTATTCGAATGTCTTTTCTTTCGAATTTCAGTTACTAATTCTAACGACATCGCTAACTGGATAAAAACTGTTGAACCTCTTCGATGTTATGATTCTAAAAAGTTGAATGGTGTTTCATGCCAAAATCAACATCGTAATCATCTCCTATCGACATCAATGCAAACTCAATGTGCTTGATTGTCTTTCATAATTCATCGTTTTTCCTCTTGCTTCCATTTTGATTTACAAAGTATATTGCATTTTCCAGAAATTTTTTCAATGCTTAGTGTGTGGATTTAAAGCTAAAATTTTTATTGGCATTAATAACCAATTCTCGAATTAAATATCCTGGCCAGTGTATGCATTCTATTACTTTCAACAAATTACAATCAAGTTTTGTCTAATGCCTACAGCTTTTACTACATTAAAATTGAACAAGATTTGATTTACTACTTACATATTTATATCTATACGTAATTTTATGTCATCAAGTTGACACTGGTGCTTTTTTTAACTTCATTTTTTCCTCATCTCTTTAAATTTTATCCACTTGTCATGTAATTGCATTGATTGATCTTTTTTCGGTTACCACACTTATTTACTTTTGCTGTTTTGTTTTTATATGAAGTCAACGTTAGAGACAAGTTTCTATCAATGCTTTTATTGTATATCACACAATAAAGACATTTATTAACATGCTTTCGTCAACTATATTATTAGTAGGGAAACAGTGTTCATAATTCTTGCTCACTATTGGCTTCGGTACTAAAGATGGTTATAAATTGTTCTTTGTTGTCAAGATAGCCTTTTTAAGTTTATTTATATATTACATATTCTTTGTTCATTCTTGGCATTACTATATGCGCTTGAAAAAATGCGTGTTACTTTCATCTTCCTGTGAATTGTGCAATATTTTATTGTTTTAATTATGTCATGTTTACGGTGTTCTTACTATTTCATTCTTGTTTTATGAGAAGTCGATTAAAGTTTAAGCTGAAAAATAAAATCATAGGCTAATTTGAACAGCTTACAGCTACCCTAGTTAAAACAGTAGTATAAAATAATCTGTCTTCTAAAGGTACTGGTTTAGTTTTGTCAACGCACGACGCGATAGGACGTCTTATTATGATTTGTAACCAAGGGATTTATTTACATATATCGTAAGCATTTTAGTGTTCCCCTCAACGCGTTTTTAAACCACGTAAAGTTTATCACTATCTCTGTGTGTTAATTAGAACATTTCAGTTTGGATAGTTAATGTCATAGAACTAGTCGTATTTTTGAATTTGTTCAAAAGTTGATCATCAAAATTCTCATTGTCAATAACGTTTGATATCTATACTTGTTTGTCGTTCCATTAGGTCATATCGTCAAGTAAATTGAGGCTTGTTTGGACAGACTAATATTTTGAAGAAGAGATAAGTGATTTTTTCTGTGACTGCAAAACACCTTAAACACAAAAATGTTAGAGACCCTATGTTTTTATGATGCTATAACGGCGATGGCGCATGGATAAACATGCACATTTTCCTCATAGGAACCAACACTTATCCTTCATAAACAGAATTTAATCCATGTGTTCTGTTTCTAGTGACAGATACTAACCATGATATCCTGCTAACCTAGTGTTGTTCGGAGTTCCTGAAAAATAAGAATTATTTTTGAAAGCGCTCACTGTGTTTGCTTACATACAATTTTCGATAAAAAGGTTATTGTATAAATGTTGAATTAATAAAAAAATCCTCTTTATCCGATCTAGTGATGAAAACGCTAAGCTATGATATTCGGTCTGTCCTTTTTTAGAGTGATGTTCTGAATTTTAGGTATCAATGTGTGTATAGTCAATAACATTGTGGAATACCTAAATCAAAAACGCCTTCTAACAGTTTATCGGTGAATTCAAATATATTTTGGTATGAGAGAATGTCATCTGCTTAATTGGTTAAGGTGGACTAAAAGTCAATCCTATCTCAAGAAAATTCAAAGGTAATAGTTTGTTAGTGGTTTTGTCTAGTATAGTGGTTAGCTGTTCCTCAAACAAACTGTCCGACTCAGAAACAAAAATACAATTCTTTGAATCAACTTCACGTCACTTTCTGTTAAAAAGTAATCACAGGTAGTTATTTTCATTTGTGAGACAATGTCTTGAAAGGTGTACCTCGGAAGTTTCTTTACTCGAACACCACTAGTCGAGTCAGAGCTTATGACGAGCTGTCGTCTGATTTCGCAACCTCAAGTGGTATCCGTCAAGGCTGTTCATTTTCTTTATTTTCCTTTCAATTCATAGACCTACTGATGGGAATAACGCTCTCATCGATTGAATTTTCTGGCATTGATCTCCCACCAGGAGGTCTACTTATCGACTTAGAATACTCAGATGATATAGTCCTGTTTGGTGAAGACACCTGGACTTAGGATATGGAATGAAGTAGTCGAACGCGCTGTGAACTTCACTTATCTTGGAAGTCTGATTAATCCTTATGGGTTGGTGTCTGACGAAATCTCACCACGGGTTCGAAGAGTTCGTTTGGCTTTTGCCAACTTGCGTCACCTATGACGAAGGCGAGATGTCCGTCTATCAATTAAGGGACGAGTATACTGCGCGGCAGTTCGTTCTGTTCTACTTTACGGCCACGAAACGTGACCATTAAGAGTAGAAGACACTCGTAAGTTACCGGTATTTGGTCATAGATGTCTTAGAAATATTGATCGCATCTGCTGGGATCACTGTGTAAGTAATAGTGAGGTTAAGTGCAGGGTATCAGGGAATAATGGTAAACCAGTTGATGCGGTTGTGAATCTTTATTAACTGACATGACTGGGCCACGTGTTGCGTATGTCTGAACACCGATTACCACGACACGCAATGTGGACTAGTGTTGGAAATGGTTGGAAGAAAGTTATGGGCGGCCAAACCAAAATCAGGCATCTGTCTTCGAAGGTACTAACTTCTGATCTGAGCAATGTCGGTAGATGCAGACTACTTGGTCGGAGTCCGCGTGACTATCGTAACCAATGGTTGGAGACTCCAGGTGACATGGCTCAGAATCGGTCACAATGGCGTCAGTGTATACACTCCTTATCTTCCCTTAAGCTATGAGATTAAAATCGTCTCATATCTTTCTTTCTACCAACTAATTTTGTCATCCTGTACTATGTCATTGTATGCAATTTTTCTTTTATATATTACCACCACTGAATTAACTATTTCTAGGAATCCGTGTTCATCTTGTTGTGCTAATGAGGTATGGTAACTTTGATCGATGCACATATGTGCCTGGTCCCACGTCGTGACTGACTAGTTTTAAGTTGAATGTTTGAAATATAAATCATTTAATCGGTAATGGTTCATAAACAACTGGGATCTTGTATTATTGTAGAGAGTTGAGTATGATTCCTATTAAAGTTTAATTAGTGTACAATATTTCAGTAACTAGTAGGGTTAAAGTGTTACAAAACTACGACTTATTAGTCGTAACACATTATATACTAGTCAAATAAGCGTTATAGTGGGACGATCTATAATTTTTCAAGTATATAGTTGTTGTTTTGACCGATCATCCAAATTTAACAAGCACTTATATTAGATCAATGAGTCTATTAGTTGAGTAATATGAAAAAATAGTGTTCATACATAGATGATAATTTATAGTTTCTGTGTGGCTGATTTATATGAATATATGTTCCACTGTGAATGTAGTCATTATTGTGACCACGCTTGTTTGTCATAAAACAAAAATGGAATACGGTAACTTTTGTGCATGCTTTAGTGACACTACTTGAACTTCGTTAGACAACGTTATTTCCAATTTCTTTTTCAATAGTCAGGTGTCTACACATATGAAGTCACGGTTGTATCGATAAGTATATCTTCCTGAGAAATTCAACTCAAACCTATGACATTAAGATCGACAATGTGACAGTCTAATAACTGGAAGAAATTTTGTCTAACTGAGAATAACATGAGATACCTTTTAATTCTGTCTCAGAACTATTTATTTTAAAGGAAGATGTTTGAATAACTAATTGTAAATACCTTCAGCAAAAGCTGAAGGACACAAAATATGCGACATTTACTCTGGGGAAAACCGAAATGGTGAGAGTAATACTTCATGGTCAATAAGCTACTTTAAAAGCTGAGATTTCGTATATAAAAAGTATTCACAAGATGTTTTCACAACTGTAGTTTACCAAACAGAATTTCGTTAGTTTTATTTCTTAACCACTGATCTCAGTAGATGTTAATAATATTATACACAGTTTTTTTTCTAATTTATCTAATCGAAGAATTCTTGTCTAACTAGACAATATAATACAATAATAGGGCGTTAACATGAATAAGTTTTCTATTTCTTCTTATTTTACTGTCCTAATTTTCCTCTCTATTTATAAGATATTCCATTGAAACAATAAATTTTAGTTGAACAATTTAATTGGCGTCATTCATTTACTGATGCTATTATCTTTATTAGTTTATTATATATTGGTGTTTCTTTCATTGCGCACATTCCCGAATAAATGTATTAATCTTGACTTTGATACAACAATGCATTAAATTGTAAACCAACAACTTAGAGGTTATATATATTCATGATCTAGATTATAGAATACGTAAATAATAGTATAAAAATGAGACGATGACTGAATTTGTCGGAGAAATGAACGTTCAAGCTTGGAATAATAGATTCTAGCCCTCTTCCATCTGTTTCAGTTTGAGCAACGGAGTAGTTTCACTTACCAATACATACATACAAATAGTGTAACCCCAATCCGAGCATACAAGCATGAGTTTGATTTGACTATATTCAAGTTTGACAATTAATAAACGTATTGATGGAAATATTTCAATATTATTTGAAATGTTTCGTGACAAGATATATTTAATGTTTCTAGATGTAAAATCTGGATAATATCGAGATTTGATACAGTGAAATTCAGTGTTTTTCACACAATCGTGGATTAAGAGATTATTTATTCCGTAGGTGAGGCATTTACTAACTGAAGACAACGGTGGACGCTCGCACAAAATCGTGGATTGGTTCAAGTTATACACTACCACTGTTGGATACGGGCTCAGTGGTATACAGACCGAAGGTCCCGAGTTCGATTCCTTCGTGCAGGGTCGTGGTTCCGCACTGCTGAGGAGTCCCATACTAGGACGAGACGGCCATTCAATGCTTCGAGGTTTTCAATGGTAGTCTAACACTGATCCATTCATGATATCAATCTAAACTATTTATTTTTATTCATTCAAGCATAAAATTAAACAAAGCCATTTGTTTAGAAAAATGTATGATACATAATAATTGTATAAATGGTATTCTTCAAACACTGTTACTCTTTGAATCATATTTCATCATAAGGGTAGATAATTTTACAGAATGAATTATATTTATCGTACATACCTGTCACGTTTAATTCTTGAATGATGATTTAAATCTAACACGAAAATATTTTCTCATGTTCTGTTGCAAATAAGTTTTTATCGTAGTTACCTTTACCGTTAAATAAAATACACTTTTATCCTGATTACATCGTTGAACGATGTAATCATCTATTTTCATTATTGGTTTTTTCTATTCGTAATTATATCTCAACTACTCTAAAATATTATATTGTGCAAATGTCAACATATTTGAATTTCATTTGCAGTGTATAATATAGCTCTTTTTCGTTACACATTCTTAGTTATTTTATCTCATTTTCAACCCTTTACAAGTTCGTCATCTTCCATTCATAAATCTGTTACTCGTCATTATTCCCATCCTATAGGTGTATTACGTGCTTCTTTGGACAACATAAGAGCAACTCCCCGAGTGTATGGACCATTTTCCTCTTCGTGGCCGGAGTACAGTAGCATCTCTCCGTAATCTAACCTTTTTTATGCAGCTTAAGTCCAGTGGGTTTCACTTATTCCGATAACCGCCAAGTTG